TGCCTTGAAAACTGCAAGGACTCGTCCAAGCAGTCACTGCAGGGTCAGCAATGACTGAGCGCAGACCAAAAAAAAAAAAGTCTCTGGATGGGACATCAGTAGGAAATCTCAGGGTTGTAGGCTACATTGAGAAGCTAGAAGAAATGCTTCAGAAGAAAACAGTGGCAAATCACTTCTGTGTTTTCCCAAGAAAACTACAACAATGTGTACTTCTAATGACTGGGAATTGAGCTCAACTCAAAGGAGACATCACCTTCACCTTCACCTTTCAGATCTAGCCTGAACCTCACTAGGAAAAGGTAATGAATGTGCTTTGGAAAACAAAAGCTGTTTGTGCAACTGGTTTACTCATCATCAAAGTCCTAACCTTTGGCTTAGTATGTGGTGTGAACACAATAGCAATTTATTCAGTAAATGAACCATAGCTTATCGCTTTATCTCTGGGAATAAGGCAACAAACATTGATTTTAAAAGAGAGTTGCCGGATGCAAATAAGGGTTTGAAAGCAATGTGAGGATAGTAATGATGGCACATGTCTGACTGTCTAAGGGCAGCATTTCGACCTGTGCTCTTTCCTGTCTCAAATTTTCCACCTTCGGTTGTCACCTTGCCTTGGTGATGGATAGAAGAGAGTTTGGTGACTCCCTTAACAGCGACAGGACAGATAGCAAGACTTGTTCCATTTCCTCATCCTAGCCAAAGCGTTTCCATGCTGATTTCTGCCTGTTAAGCTGAACTGAAGAAGGGGGGGAAACCCTCACAATTAAAAGATGGCCACCTTTCTATCAATGCCTTCTTCAACTAGAGCCCAGCATGGGGGAACCTGGATGCTCACCCCCACCCACCCCCTCCTGTTAGATTTATGGCCTGCTCCCATCCCTGCCCCTCTCCCTCTCCCCTCAGGGGGCTGGCCCATCCATTACAGCCTGTGGTGGCTGCTGGGCTCCCACTGAGCCAATTTTCATCCATCTTCCCCTGTCGTCTTCCCCCGCTGGCTCCCGGCTTTTCTCACTCAGCTCCCGCTAATGCAGCCCCTGGCGTGTGGCCGATGCTGTTGTGCAGCTTTTAATTTACAAGGGCTCAGACCTGGAGGCCCCGCTGGCTTCAGGGTTTGTTATATGGATGGCTTGAAAGAGCTGGAGATGGAAAAGGAAGGGTCGGGATTAGGCTGGGCCAATCAATCGGAGCACATTGTTTCTCCTTGGTGGTGCTGACAGGCAATAAATGGACTTGCAAGAGAAAATGGAAGGAGGGCCGGAGGAACCTTTGGAGAGGGGCTCTTCTTCGCGGCTTGGCACGCCATGTTCTCACCCCAACAAGGGGGGGGGGAGGTGTCAATTTGTCATTCTGAGACTCCCTAAGTTAAGGAAAGCATAAAAAGTTTGGGACAGCTGCATCATGCAATCTGCAAGCATAAATGGCTGGCTCTTAAGTTTGACCGCCATTTTGTATTCTCAGCCAAGCCAAAGGCCAAGAAAAGAGAAGTGAGACCAATCCTTCAATGTTTTAAGCGAGGCCTCTTCAGAAAGTAGGTTGTGTACCTTCAAAGGATGTAGGGAAGGGAGTAGAGTTGTACTCATTCATCTAATTCTTGATGTCATCATCTTAGTTGCCTATCATTTTTGTTCTGAACTGGGTGGAAGATCTAGTGCAGAAGAGTAGAAAACTAGTAGCAATGTTCTCATGAACTTGCATAGGTCCTTCTTCAGGTTGGGAGTTCTATTCCTGTAGGGTTCTCAGTTAATGATGGATCTTACATGACTGAACTCATCTTGGACCTCCATCAAACATTCTGCCCCACATACATCAGTGTTCGAATGGGGCTAGCCTATACATTTCATCACTTGCCCTTTGTATGTGTGGAGATGAATTTCAGACAGGAGTACTCTTTGGGTGAAAACAGATCAAGGACACCAAAAGGCCAAAATAAAGGAGATGAGGTTAACCCACCAGACTATACTGAGGTGGAAGAGGTGCTGGGAGCAAGGATTCAAGTGACTGAGTTCACAAGTAAGTTATGTTTTAGCAAAACAAATGTGAATTTGACCAGGCTTATGGCAAAGGTTGGAGCATTTTGAGATGACAAGATGTTGTAACTATTCCCAAAAATCAGGATGATCCACTTGAGCTGTTCATTGACACAGCAATCCTGGCACAGTGGTTTAGCAGGGAAATAATTCAATAAATAAACCAATTCAGTTCATTCTGAGGCAATTTCAGGTGTCAGAGAGAACCTTTTTTCTTCCTCACTCTCCCATTGTGCTAAGCCCCGGTTAGTTCAATAAGCTACAACTAGCTGAGTTCACACAACATACTAAGTCAAAATCAAACAGAGCACTAGAGGTGTGCAAAAGGTTTCAAAATCTTTTAAGCCTGCTAGTAACTTGAGCTCGAAATGAATTTTTCTGATCGTTCTGGAAGGGGTTTTAAGCTCGAAACAGCTCTCTTGAGTTCAAAGTACTTCTAGAATGGCCAGCAAACCAGTGGCCACCTCAGCATTCCTGTTTCCAGCGTGACCAGGAGCATTTTGAGTGTCCACCCTTACAAAGCACAAGATTTGGGAATCATTGAACTAGGACAATGAGGCTAAAAGTTTGCCCTGGGGTTATCTCACTCATCCATCGGACTGTGCAAAAGGTCTCCTATCTACCCTGAGGCATCCTTTCGATCCAGATGGTTCCAGTCATTGATTCCAGGTGGTCCTTCCAGGCTGAAAATGGAGTCCCTCACCTTGATACCTTAGACTTGATTTGGCGGGCTGCTTCTCCTTGGTGGAAGGGAACCTCTGCCCCGGCCCTGTAACTTCACGGAGGGCTCTTTCTAGCATCTGTTCCAACCCTTCCAATCTTGTAGTCTGAAAGGGAGGGTGGCTTTGAAGTTCTGTACTAATCAGGTCAAGCATTCATGCACGACGCCACATCTAATCTATGCTAAAAGATTTTTAACCATATTCCGCTACTCCAAATGAACTAAATCACACACCTCCTTTTGATTTCTCTGGGCGGTCACCCCCTCACCATGAGAAAGCTTTTGGTTTAAATGTGTTGAATTTGGAATCCCTTAGCATGGCGTGGGGAGGCGGGGAAGGAAGGCCGTGCTGCTGGATGAAGGAAAATAAACATAAATTATTTTCAGATAGTCTCAGAGGGAGGTAGCATCTATGAATTTGCCACCATCACTGTCCAGACGGGATTCGGTTTAGTGTTGCTGGGAGTTCTTGGGGCAAATCTAGGCACCATCTTTTCCCAGTTGTTTCTACCCATCCAATCTGGTCTGGCAGGCTGGGCATGCTCCAGGTCCTGTCAGCCAAGGAATGTCAGCTGGCGCAGACCAGGAGACGTGCCTTCTCTGCTGTGGCGCCTGCCCTCTGGAGCATCCTCCCTCCTGAGATGAGGATGGCCCGACTCTTTTGGCTTTTCGGAAGGCCTTGAAGACCTGGCTTTGTGCCCAGGCCTGGGGCCCCAAGTGTGCGAAGGGCCCCGTTTCATGGTTGTGCTGATACCAATGGTTTTTTAAGATCTCTTGGCTGTATTTATATTTAATTTTTTGTACTGTTTTAAGTGTTGACTGTTTTTATTGTTGTTAGCTGCCCAGAGTCACTGGTCTGAGATGGGCGGCTATAGAAATCAAATGAATGAATGAATGAATGAATGAATGAATGAATGAATGAATGAAT